CCAAAGGCTTCTGCAGAGTACGACCAGAACTTTTGCCTTTTTGACAGAGGCAGAATGCAGAACGCACAGATGGTTGCCCTGGTTGGATTGAAATCCACAGGGAAGTCCAGCACTTTGTCGCAGTTCCTCAGGGAGCGGCAGAATCCCTTCCAGCTGTCGCTCACCGATGGCAACCTTTACGACGCACTGCATGAAGAGATGAAACAGGCAGTCCTGTGTCTGCCCTTCTTGGCCCACCATCTCCGGTGGGACGCTAGCAAGACGAGCAAGCGCATCGTCATCGAAGTCTTCGAGCTGGTGCAGGAGCAGACAGGTTCACCGGTACAGCTGGGGGTGGACGTGGTGTTGAACCCCCCGACAGTGCCTTTAGAGGGGGCAGACAAAGCAGTGAAGTCTGTGCAGAGTTTGATTTTGCCAACGCCAAGCTCAGTTCAAATCTTCAGCGCGTTCAAAATCATCAAGGTCGTCAAGGATGTGAAGTGGCTTTGTGCTGATGCGAGGGTGGCTTCGGCAATGATGGCATCAAGCGAGGGCTTGGGGCTTCTGAGCGTGAACGAACCAAGACTTGAGAAGCTGATGGCAAAGGAAATGACGCTCGAGAAGGCCAAGGACTACCTCCAGCACATCCACGCCAAGGGCTACACGGACGAGATGCTCAAGAAGATTCCGCGAACCTTCAATAGCCTTCAACGATTCAAGACAGCGCCGGACAAGGAGGACTTTTGCGAGGAGGAGATGAAGGGGTGGATGAAGAGAGTGAAGGAATGCATAGGGCACTGCTCCCACAAAGGCACGGATGGAGGCCTCAAGGCCGCCAAAGCCCTCTACGGCAAAGCGCTTGGTGGAGCAGTGGACTACGACGACATTTGCCAGCGTTGCAAAGATGAGCAGAACTTCGTGACGAATTTCGTAAGGCCCAACCTCTTCACCCCCATAAACAGTGCAGAGTACAAGTTCCAATTCGATTGTGTAGCAGAGGCAGCGAAGGCTGTGCTCGGCCTGTGAGTGCCCCTTTTCCATTTGAAGATGGCAATCCTGTGATTCCACTGCGAGTCTGAACAGGTCGTGTAGAGGGACAACAGTGCGTGTGAAGAGCAGAGAGAGACCCAAAAGCGTGGGCATCAGCATCAGGGCGCAAGTTGCAATCTTCGCGTTTGTTTCTGCGTTTCCTTTCTTGCCTTGATCTTAACCTCGATGGATTTTGCCTGGATTTTCCATGTCGGTTTTTGACTTGTAACATAACCATGATGCCACAGAAATGGGTCCGAAATGGGGTCGAAACGGGTTCCAAAATGGGCTCGAAATGGGCCAAATGGGGCCAAAATGGTGCCAAAATGGGACAAAATAAGGCCAAAATGGGGGCCAAAATGGGTTCCAAAATTGGGTCGAAATGGGCTAAACGGGGCCAAAATGGGTCCGAAATTGGGTCGAAATGGGTCCGAAATGGGTCCGAAATGGGTCCGAAATGGGGCCAAAATGGGTCCGAAATTGGGTCGAAATGGGTCCCGAAATGGGTCCGAAATGGGGTCGAAATGGGGTCAAAATGGGTCCGAAATGGGGTCGAAATGGGGTCGAAATGGGTCCGAAATGGGTCCGAAATGGATCCGAAATGGGGTCGAAATGGGGCCAAAATGGGGCCAAAATGGGGCCGAAATGGGGTCGAACTGGGTCCGAAATGGGGACCGTTGGGTCGAAGTTGGGTCGAAATGGGTCCGAAATGGGCCGAAATAGGTCCGAAATGGGTCCGAAACGCGTCCAAAATGGGTCCAAAATCGGTCCGACATGGGTCCACAAATGTGTGCAAAATGGGCTTTGGTGCACGGATTTCGTGCAATTCTCTAGCGGACATGAGGCGTCACGGAAGCTCAGGACTATATGAGGGGACCCTGGACGTCACGCAACTTGAGGACTCTTTGAGGGGAAACCTATACTCCGTGGCTCCCAGGCCTTGGGGCTCTAAATGCCTCCGTTTTGGCCTTTGCGGGGCTGGATTTCTGTAATTTCTCTAGGGGACCCTGGGCGTCAAGGGGCTTGGGGACTAATTGAAGGGACCCCTGGGCCTTGGGTCTAAATACCTCCGTTTTGGCCTTTGCAGGGCTGGATTTCTGTAATTTCTCTAGGGGACCCTGGGCGTCAGGGGCTTGAGGACTAATTGAGGGGATTTCTGTAATTTCTCTAGGGGACCCTGGGCGTCAAGGGGCTTGGGGACTAATTGAGGGGACCCCGGGGTGTTGGGCGCTTTAATGCTTCTGGGCTCTAAATGCTTCCGTTTTGGGCTCTGTCTGGTGGGCTGGATCCCCAGAATTTCTCACTAATTGCTGGGCCTTGGGCTCTAAATGCCTCTGTTTTGGCCTCTCATAACCTGGATCGGGCGTCAAAGGGCCTGGGGACTAATTGAGGGGATCCTGGCGCTTGGGCTCTGAATGCCTCCGTTTTGGCCTCTGCAAGGCTGGATTTCTGCAATTTCTCTAAGGGACCCTGGGCGTCAAGGGGCTTGGGGACTAATTGAGGGCCTTGGACTCCAAATGCCTCCGTTTTGGCCTTTGGGGGGCTGGATTTCTCTAGGGGACCCTGGGCGTCAAAGGGCCTGGACACTAATTGAGGGGCCCCACGAGTCTGGACTCTGGGAGTAGTTTGGGAACGCTTCAAAATTTTCCATTTTTGAGGGCATCTGACTTTGAAAATCATCGATTTCTCTAGTGGACATTGGGCGTCACAGAATCGAAGGACTATTTGAGGGGCCCCACGATTCTGGATTCTGGAGGTGGTTTGGGAACGCTTCAAATTTCCGTTTTGAGGGCTTTAACCTTGAAAATCAGGGATTTCTCTAGCCGACATAGGGCGTCACAGAATCTGAGGACTATTTGAGGGGCCCCACGACTCTGGATTATGGCGGGTGTTTGAGAACGCTTCAAAATTTCCGTTTTGAG